AAAAAAAAAAAAAAAAAAGGCTGTCGAGAGGAGACGGGAGGGAGACGGGAGAGAAGAGGGAGGTGGTGTGTTGGGGAAGAAGAAGATTCAATAAAACAATATTATGTGTTTGGTAGGTAGGAGATAAAAGTAATAATAAAATAATATGTAAGGCATATTTTAGTGGGGTGATGTAATAAGTGGTTTTATTTTTGACTTATTTTTTTACTAGGGATTTAAAAGTAAGATGTTTAAGGGGGTAGGGAGTTAGGAGGAAAAATATTTGTATAGGGACTGAGCAGGAATTCAATTATGTGTTTGGGGATTTATTAGGAACTTCCCCTTAAGTATTTATAATTTTAAAAGTTAATAGACATTGATAAAGTATACATCACCTTTTACTACTCTCGACCTGTATGATGATGACACTCTTTATATTAGAGTGTGATGTGATGTACGTATTTATCTATAAATAAATTACAAGTTTTATTATGGACCAAGTTTAAATTTTAAACAAACTATATGAATGAATGCTTTGCATGTGTAATTACAAGTTATATTGTGGAGCAAGTTAAATTTTGAACGTGTATACGTCTCATTAAAATTATATTTAAAAGTATGTATATTCTCAAATATATATAGTTGTGATCTGAAATATAATAATTATTATCATATTAAAACATTTAGTACAAGCACAAGAACATCGTTCTTAAAAAATAAAATGGGAAAAAACTTTTTCAGCTCACTATAAACACATATTAAGTTTTTCAAGCAACTCGTTGATAATTTAAAATTTTCACTAATGTCAAGGTTGTGCCAATCATTCTCATAATTGTGCCATGTCAATTGCATAAATGTCGAATGTTTATCAAACAATGCCTTCAGACTTCGATTTTTTCTCTTCAGAAGGGCGAAGAGTTATACAAATAGACCATAACTGTTGTGTAACCATCATATAATACTTTTTGATTTTCTTGGCTGAAAAAAATTAATTTATCAATAAGCCTTGGAAAAACTTAATAAATATTTTTACTTTGATGTGAAAAAGAATATTATTTCACAAAGTAAAATATC